TTGTTGTGAGAGAGATATTTGTGACTCTAACACTGCATCATCAAGTATGAACACTTCTAATCGCAATACTTTTTGACACTGCGGAGTCAATCTCCCACTCGCAATTGCGGATTTAGCGAGTGTAGAACAGATAATTGCTGGACACACAACGTGGTAAGTGTTTTTTAATCGACAAGTGACGTAGAAATTTTGCATCATTTGAGTTGTTTTCAATAACGTAAATTTCATTAACAAGTTATTTTTCATAAAGTTTGTTAACTGTTTTAGGCAAAATAAGTATCACATAGTGGAGAATGTTGGATTGCTTTTATTTAAAGTAATTTACATTAAAAGACGGCAAGATTGAGTGATTTCGCGAAATGACCACTGGGGGGTTCCCGATCGAGGCTAGAGGCGAGTGTAGGAATGCTGTAGTGATACGGAATGTCACGTTTGCAGAGAGAGAGAGAGAGAGAGAGAGAGAGAGAGAGAGAGAGAGAGGGAGGGAGAGAGAGGGAATATTTGCATTTGTCTTCTTTGGACACATGTAAATAATTTTATTCGGGAATCCATGCAATTTACTACTAAAAATCACAAATAAATTAAACAACCCTGCAACAGTCACTATAATAATTTTTTGCAAACTCCGAAAGTTTTATATCTTATTACATAGGCTTATATTGAGTATTCTATGATAGATGTGTTACAACTTCTGCTACAATTTTCCTTCTCTGTCAATTAAAACATTACTGTAACCAAGTTGCATGATTTCTGCATTAAAATAAAAACAATAAAAGTGACCATAAATATATTCGTTTATAAGTTCGTTTTATTCCCTTTTATTTTACGCCTGCAAATATTTGTGGTGAGTGGTGGGAGAAATGCCGGAAATTGTATTGCTGTGTGTGTAAAAAAAAGAAACATTAGCAATTAACGATTATGTAAATTAATAAAGTTAATGAATTGTGTGAAATACAGAAAAGGAATGAAAATAAATGCATCGATCTGAATGTAATTGTATTGTTCACAATTTTTAATACTTCCATTCTCAAGATTGTGTGATCTTGTTTCCAAGAGAATGTTGATTTAATAACAAAAATTAAACAAGACAAGACCTAATACCTTCAGTAGAGTATCATATGTTGATGAATTAAAATATAACATTTTACCTCTTCATTTGTTTGTGCACATTTTTATTTTCTATTGCAATAAATTGCCTTTAATATTTTTGAAAATATATGTAAATAAATTAAATACAATCCCATTCATGAAATTACAGTAAAAGTTCATAGGATTCTTTATAGAATCAACTGTTTCATAACTGAGCGAAACTATATTTTTATTGCACTATGGTGTGTGTCGCTAAGGTGGGCTGAATATTTTTCGAAAGTTTTTTGTGCTGAGATTTTCACGTTTTGTCTCCAAGATAAGTGGGAAAATACAAAAAAATAGTTTACATGTATCCCGAAGAAACAAAAATGTACTGTTTAGTGTGTGACAAACCGAGTTCTGAAGCAGCAAAAATGGACTGTTCTTAAAAAACACCAAGTGAGTACTGAAGCTTCTTTCTGCTACCTGTAGGACGTCAGCTGGCCGCGTAAGCAGTGACGCATTGAGTACGAGAAATTCATAATTAACGTAACCAAATACTTGCACTATTCACTGAAAATTAAAACACATTATTTTCTATCTCTCTAGTATTTCTGGGTGTCTTACAAAACATTGGCACCTCTCACACTGCCGGAGGCTCCTTAGTTTTCCGACAACTTATGCGCGTATTAGAAATAAGTAACATAGTAAATTATGTTTAGGAATTAAGATATAGACACTCATATCATTTTGTGGTTTGAATTTTACACGTAACCCAGTACGCAATTCAATATCATGAAACATGATCAAGATATTTTGAACTCAAATAATGAAACAAAAGCGATGTACAATATAGTAAAAAATTCGACCAAATCAACTAGAAACCTTAAAGAGAAAGTTGTTTTAAAAGATAACGATAGAAATGGGAACTATCCGGTAACAGTGGCTAATCTCTTTAACCAATACTTTTCTAGAATTTCTTCTGATCTCATCAAGGATCTTTAACCACCAAATGGAACATAAGACGTTTTCCCAAACATTTTAGACACGATTTTCGTTTCCGAAACTTCTTCCAATGGAATTCTCAAAATAATCGGTAGACTAAAAAATAAATATTCGGCTGGTTTTTGATGGGTTTCTGGATTTTCTATTAAAGACTTGTGTGCCCGCCATTATACACACGTTAACTCATATTTAATTTATCCTTATTAACTTTTCCAGATATTTTTAAAATAGCTAAGATGAAGCCGCAAAAAGGCAAGACAAGTGAAATTCAAAATAATTGGCCTATTTTTCTTTTGTCTTTTTTTTCAAAAATATTAGAGAAATTTTTAAGTAGGAATGGAAACCTTTCTTAGTAAATAACAAGCGTTTTCATATTGCCAACATGGGTTTTGAAAATCAAGATCTGCGGAAACAGACATTTTATTTTCTTAAAGATGTCGCGTCATTTAGGGATCAAAACGAAGCACTTATTGGAATATTTTTATATTTTTCAAAAACGTTTGACGTCATTGATCATTACATTTTACTTTCAAAATTACCTTCCTATGGAATTCGTGGTATTGCTTTAGATTGGTTATGTTCGTTCCTTAAACAACCATCTCAGAGAGTAGAAATACATTATTGGAATAATGAAAAATTATGTACACACTTTTCCAATTCTTTACAAGTGCATGTGAGGTCCCGCAGGGATCGATTTTAGGCCCTCTTCTCTTCCCACCATAAGAAAACGATATGCCCTTGAAGATTAGAAACGGAATAACAGT